GAGCTGCTGAAGCTCAATGCAGCCAAAGCGTGCAGATGAGCATCTCTGAATGCACAACAGGTCAAAGTGCAAACAGCAGAAGACCACACAGTGAGCAGCTTTTAAATGCCACAGCCTACACGAGCAGCTTTATGACCACGGAGTACCCGTGTTCTAACGACTGCTTTCAGCAGGATAACAACTTTTCTTGAACTTACAGTCACAATCGAAAACAGCACCTTTGGGATGTGATGGAACAGGAGATTCATGTCATGGAAGGAAATGCAACAAATCTGCAGCAACTGTGTGATTCTATCATGTAAATATGAACCAAAATCTCTCAGGAATCTGTCTCATGAAGAATTAAAGCGTTTGTGAAGGGGAAAGCCGTCCAACGCAGTGCTAGCAAGTGGGCAGTGAGTCGAGGTTTCATACTACACCTCGACAAACAAATGCACCATGAATGTGTCTCTTCAGCCAGTACAGATTTAATCAGCACAGATGTTTTCTTTTTCTACTTATCCATGATCTCCTGCCTAGGCTTCTGCCCGTCAAAAATGTGCCTCTTCAAAGACTCAGTCAAAAATATTTTCTAGCATTTGCCTTTTATTACCGTTTTATTAATAAACTCTAGCAGTAATAATACATTCTTAAAAAACGTGTGACGTTTTTGGCTGCAGAAACGGACGAGTGGGATTTCATTTGGACTAAAGGACTGGCTTTTTATTGAGCAGCAGCGATGGTCTGCTCGCCTGTCTGTGCTGCCTATGTTATCTATTTCTGTGATGCAGTAGGTGGGAATAGCAGACCATCAGGACAATCGGTGACACTTGGGCCCAGTGTTTCCTCAGCTCCCTCCCTTGCTTAATCTGTGTTTTCTTTGTGCTATCCAACATCTTGCTCGTCACTAATCCACACTCGCAGCGCCTCGCCACTGACTCAGAATCTCAAGATATTTTCCTTCCCTTTGTGTGTCTTTCCATGGCTTTTCAGCCAGGTCATGACACAGTGATTCAATGATGAGCTTTTTCTAGTGATGGGAATAATGTGGCCGCTTGTTTTATGAGTTATTTAAACACTAAAATCTGCCCTGAAAATAAATTCCTATGAAATTCAGTGAAGGTGTTGATTTAAAGAGAGCGATGAGGTTTTTTTCTTATGCATGTCTGGATGCACTTCTTTTAATGACAAACAGAGCTGTCATTAAAAACTTGTAAACCGAAGCCCACTGGAAATCAAGTGTCTGCTTCACAGTTTTCAGTGTGTTAAATACCTATTTTATCAGGGTGACTGACCTGCTAATGCAAAGCGCTGCTGAATTCTTATTATTGCAGTATCCTTGTTAGGTTTGCTCTTCGGGAAATAGGCTTTAAACCATATGCATGGTGATTTGAGGAGGCAATGATGTGGTTTATGTAAGATTTGGCAAAGCATGAGTGCTTTATGATTAACAGTCATTTAATGTGGAGTAGAGCATTTATTTATATGGCAGGCTACATTAAATGTTTATGGGCACTTTATTATAGACCCTTTATTTTATTTTTTGTCAAGTTGCAGGCAAAAGCCGATGAAGATAACCTCAAGAAAACAGATCAAAAACAAAGAAAAGTCAGATGAGTATTACAGTCAGTTTACTGCACAACTACCAAAAAAGGAAAAAGGAAAAAAAATTCTGCGTGTGACAGGTGTCTGGGTAATTCAACCTGCTGCTGATGGTGTCCAACCATGAGGGATACCGACTATTATTTCAATTTTCTATGTTTTATATACAGTGTTGGGAAGGTTACTTTTAAAATGTATTCCATTACAGAATACATGCTCCGAAATGTATCCTGTAACGTATTCCGTTACGTTACTCAATGAGAGTAACATATTCTGAATACTTTGGATTACTTAATATATTATCATGCTCTTTACAACTATGTGAATGTACTATTGCTGTGATTTATTACTGTTACTGAAGGTCCGCGGCTCCGAACCGTAGTAAAGGGACCTCTGGCTAATACGGTGGGTTCTGTGTCG